GAATATGTACTTTGCTGTTTGGGTAGAATATTCTGACAATATTCTGATTCCCAGAGCAGCTGGTTTACTATCACTTATATCGTACCCAGTAAAAGTGACCTCCCTTGTTTGATGACTGAGCTCTTTCCCAAGTAAAAGAAAAGAGGATTACCTCCAAATAAGAAAGCTTCATCATTCTTTCATTAAAACAGAAATACATTTCTACTTGAATTCAGCTAAGTGCATCTTCCTGCCAAGATACCCTTTAAGGAAATATTATGAGTAGAAAAAAGGGGGAAATACAGTTAATACACATAACTTAACAGGATTATGCAGAAATCTTAAGGCAAACCATTCTTTTTTTGTTTGTTTGTTTGTTTAAATAAGGTCCTATAGTGGATAAAAATATATATCATATAGAGGTTCCTATACTTTTTATTTGTTGTAAGTGTAAATGAAAATGGCATACAGAAAAATTTTTAAATAATAATTTAGCATTGATGAAATGAACAAAAGATAATCAGTTTATTTACTGTAAAAAGTTTTGCATTACAATATGGTCAGTTGTTAAGATAAACCAAGATTATTAGTATCCAGTTATTTCCTTAGCAATGGAATGCCTTCCACAACTACTGAGTGCATTATCAGATCACAGAAACAAGTATATGCCATATGGAGTCTCCTTTGTGAATTAACTTGGGTTATAAACAATAAAAAAGTAAAAAGAACATGAAACAAATTCATAAGAACTTTCTAAACTTGACACAAATGTATGTGTCTTTGATAATGTCTCTGATTTTTGGATTTTTAAATAATTAGCAAGAAGGGCATTTCTTAAATTAGTCTTTTAGTCATGTTTTCACATGTTATTATTATTATTAGATAGAAACATTTCACGTCATTTAAGCCCCAAAGGCATAATAATAAAGGTAGGAATAACTGAATCATCAGAAGAATAATTATACAGTATAGAAATTAGGTTTGACCACACACAACACAAATTTTAACATGGGAAAGAAATACATCAGAACCATGTCTTCATATATGCATAGCCATGCAAATAAAAACACTGAATATAATATGAAAATGTCATAAAATATTTTCAAAAAATTGTTTTGATTGACTCTAACAATCAAACCTTTGAGCTTAAAAATGCTGTGGCAATAACATTAAAAAGTATGTTCTCTTATTTGATGCACAATAATAGCTATGAATCCACAATGATTCCTTCTGTAGACTGGACTGGCCTCAGACTCAGAGATCTGTCTGCCTCTGCTTCCCAAGTGCTGCCATTAAAGGTGTGTGCCACCACTGTCCCAATAATTCTTTCTGTTTCTCCATTACAGAAATTTGTCAACAACATAGTGGTGTCATTGCCCTTAACTCGTAGCTTTCTGATATTTAAAATTACTTTTCATTTTACATAGCAACTCCAGTTCCCCCTCCCTCTTAAAATGAATTTTTAAATAAAAAACATACATTCACACTTAGAAGTATCAAATTTGCTTCTCAGTGGTCTTAGAGTTATGAGCAACTGATAATGAAAGGTAGTTTAAATAAACATGAAATCCCAGCAAGCATTGCAGAGCAATTAAACTCCAATCTCAGAAATCATCTGTTTCAGCAAGTCATTAAACTTTAGTTCATATGTGGCAGATTATTGAACAACTACAGCTGAGGGATGTAAAAATACACTTGAAGGATAAAGCCATGCATTTCAGTATGGAAAGGAGACCCAATGCATGTAACAGCCTCCTTGCATTCCTAATGAAGCGATCACAATAGGAGTAAGGTTCCTATGTAAAATCCATGTTATGGGTATGGTAAAGCTTACATGATGTGAAATATTTCATGCAAACATCTTATACTCTTGCCTTCCAATAACAGAGGTTAATTGCTTGTCCCTCCTCATAAACAGACTGTCAGTTCTGAAAATGTCCCAAATCAAAGAACATATTTTAATACAAATTATTTCTTTAATTTAAACCTTGAGTAACAAGATGAAAGAGGTGTCTAAGTTGAAGTCATTCAGGTATTTAAATAAAAGAAACAGGCTAAAATATATCAGGGTCAATGGTAGCTAAATGGCATTTACATAAAGATGAATTTAATTTCAGACAACTCATCTTGGGTTATTATTACAGAAAATGGAAACGTCACTTAGAGGAGCTAGGACATTGATTTTGAAGTACATACTTATTTCTCAACATTGGCACTGGCCATACTGACTTGCATGACTTCAGTTCGGGCAGCTTTTTGCTTTATTTGAAAACATAAATTCTGAAGCCTTCATGCAAACTATTATTTTAAATCAATCTGATTTATTAAAGAACAAAATTTTAAACACTGTAGACTTTAAAAATTTACTGATATGTACAGTATCAATTCATTTGTGGCATCCTTGGGTTGAATGAACAGGATTCCATGTGGGGAAATCCATCAGTATTTTGTTGTGGGTTTTTTAGGGTTTGTTTGTTTTGCAGTACAGTGGATGCTACCAAGGGTCTCATACAGGTCCAGCAAACACTCCATTGCTGAACCACACTCTATTACTGTCCACTGATTTCTTCGTAAGAAATATTAAATATTTTTATTGACTAATACAATAAAAGTTAACATTTATCACAGTAGAAAATATATTTGATTTACTCATACCATTACTTGTAATCTGTGCTTGGTTACTGGAGAGGGTTTTATTCAATATTGTGTATGAGGAAATATCCACATTTTTAGCTAGTTTAATAGACCAATCGTTCATGCTTATTTAATAGAGAAGGACTTATCTGTACAATCACATGTTCTACAACATAGATAAAGTAAATGTTAAAGACAGAAAATCTTTGTAAGTAAATAAAATTTAAGAAGTATCTGTCTCCTTTAAGAGATTGCATACCTTCTACTTATGAAGCTTTCTTAAGGATATTTGCTTTTTAGACTGTGACATTGAAGTACTCTAAAGTGAAGTTGCTACAATCCAGACAACTTTGAAGAACTCCTACAAAATAATAAAACCTTAGAAAATTAAGGTTGTTATCCTAGTTCAAACATAAAAATATTTCATGACCAGTCAGTAAAAATTAAATATATTTTAGATTTTAAAACAAAAAATAAATAATAGAATTGTGGGCTACTAGAATAACATATTATTGCAAATTGTCTATACTTACAAGACTACCATTTTTAAACACAAATCCTTATAATCCAATGATTAATTTTCCACTATCAAAAATCTCTTTCCTACAAGTTATACTAACTCTTCACATTTAGTCTCATGGGATCTGCAGTTGCTCTCTGTCATTTGTTAAGTTCTCTTCATTGGACCTCATTACTGTACTTCCTATACTTTAAGCATATATAAAGTATAATTTCCAAATAAGTCTTTTATTCATACCTTAATAAATTTATATTTTCTGAAGTTTTGAAAATTCCTTTTACCTCCTTTCTTTTTCATCCAGAATTACATTTGCAAAAGATTTATGCATCCAAACTTTTTTTATGCTCCTAAACACAATGGCCAAACACAGTTTATTGCTTCTTTTTATTTTACTATTATATGTTAATGAAAATCTCATGTAGGAAACAATTTCTGCACTTATTATTCATTTTTGTAGTTGTGCTTACATTTTAAAAAATGTGGAGACCAGTAAGATGGCTCAGTAGATGAAGATGCCTTCCACTAGGCCTGATAATCTGACTTCAATCCTTGGGATGCAAATGGTTGTGGTAGAGAAGCAACTCCTGCAGGTTTTCCTCTGACTTTCCCACGCATGCTGTGGACATACATGTGTGTACATGCATGCATGTGCACACACACACACACACACACACATTAAAATGTAATGAAAAATTTTACAATAGTTGGTTATTTTGCTAACCAATCTTGAATATAACCTCTCACCTTTGTTCAAAATGTTTGCAACAATTAGCATCTGTAGTGTTTCTATAGTTGATTTTTTAATATCAAATGCACCTTCAATTATTCTTACTAAGATTCATGGCTTTTGTTTCATTAGTTTTTCACTTTTTCAATTTCTTTTTACAACCCAATTTTATCTTTATGGGTACTCATTTTTACCAGCACTATGCATTTACTCATTGAAAAGGTCTGCAAATAAATATAGATATGGCTCAGTTTAAACTATACTAAATGATGTGGTACAACATAAATACATCTCCTACTGCTTAGAGATTACCACCTGCTTTTGAGTTGAAAATGAGAAATTGATTTCAAAGTTTATATATCTTCTGGGCAATGTTCTTTTAAAATGAATATTTTATAGAATATTTCAAAACAAACATTTCCTACTTTATTAAAATAAGCAACTAAAATAAAACTACTTATAACAGACTTATTGATAAATTTTATATTGGAAGTAATCAACTTCATACACAATCTCAATGCAGCTGTGTCAACAGTGGTTACACAGGGAAGCGATCCATTGTTGAGTTCACGATCCAAAGACACAACTCATTCTGTGGTATTTATTTAAAAGGCATGTTATCCCTTAGGTCAAAGTCAACTTAGCAACTATGACACATCTTCAGTTTTAACTTATGCTTAGGAAAAGGTAAAAAGAAAAAAAAAACAGAGTAAGTTTACTTTAACTGAACTCTAATGAAAATCTATGCTATGCAGATTTAACACCAATAAATGAGGAGAAATGTACAGGAACAACAAAGCAATACAGGCAGAAGCAACGACGTGGGTATTCTGATTGACTAAGACTCCCATCAGGGTCTGTTTTGTGTGTTGCTGCACTTTACCTGCATCCCTAGTTTGGCAACTATTTCAACTTTTACTCCAAATTGCGTAAGAAATGACACAAAAACATCATTCAGATAAGGAACACAAAAGTTTGGGGTTGCTTTGGTAACCTTGACTGTTATTCAACAGGAAAATAACATAAAAACAAAGTTCCTGCAATGTGCTTTGTGACTGACTGCTGGCTGACCTTTGATGGAGTGCTTCTTAAATGTGCCTCCCCTTCTGCTCCACAAGCTGGGCAGCTCCAAAATTTCTTCCTACAGTGCTAGTCATCTTTTTTTGCTAACAGTGAGGGCCAGTTTTGTTTGGAAGAGAATTTAAAGATACTGTTACATGAAAAAATAAAACCTTTATGGTTTTATGTAAGTTAAGGCTACCTGACAAAGACAAGGAGTCAGGGTTAGGCGCAATTATGTGGGCAGCACTTGAAAACTGAGGAATCCAAGTTAGACCTTACAGCTCAATTAGCTGTTGTCCTTGTTTTCTCAATAATGCAAAAACTAAATTTTTCTATGAAACTATATTGCCTTAAATAAAGTCATAAAAGTTACCTAGCAGAATCTGTAAATTAAATAAGAATATGTATTATCTCAATATAATATGACTGTAGGCACCTGAGTGTTTGTTGAAAGTACACAATGAGCTAAGGTTTATCTATTTTTTTTTTTTTTTTTGGCAAGAAAGATTCATTGCGAAAGAAACAAAGGACAAAAACATACACTTTCTGCACAAATTAACACGCCAAGGCTACCTTACTGCTATATATGTATATTTTTGCATTTATTGTGATCCCTTTTAGTGGGAAACACATAGTAAGACCCAAAATTTGGAAAAAGTTTAAAAAATTTGTGGTCATTAAATAAGCACACCATTGCTTTCCTTCAAGTAATTTGCCCTTCTTTAACAAGACCACACATACACACATGCACACAATCACACAGGAGCAGCACCAATATATCTACTGAATTGCAATTTTAAGAAATTAAAGATACCATCAAAACATGATTAAGTCAATGAATCATATCTTTGCCTCTTTCTTAGATTTAATTAATAAATGCCCAGTGACGAACTCTACTTTTAAAAACTAGCAGTTAATGAGTTACTAATTAGAAAATAACTGCATAAAGAATATCCATGTAGCAGCAAAAACAGTTATTTTTAACATTCTGATGCACCTCATTTGTAATTTTCTGCAAGAACAAGGACCATAATCTTGCCAGCTCCAAATATTAAATTAAATTAAACTGAGCAAACTATGATTACTTAAAAATAAATGAATTCTGCTTACAGAAATTATAAACACAAACCATATATAAAATAAAATACAAAATAAATATCAATGAAAAATATTGAAATTACTTTCTATGGCTGACTTTGAAGTACAGGGAAAGATGATTTTATAACGTATCTATTTTACATTGTCTTGGATCTCTTTTATGCTGTGGAGATAAAGCCAGATATCTGAGATACATGTTTCATTTAAATTTCAAGTGAACTGTTATCATTTGATTGCAGGTCTTCTGTGACTCATAAATTGATCACACCAGGTTCAATGCATTTTTTCTATTCTTCTGTACTCTCTCCTCTTCAAAAATGATGGACTGTAATACATATGTACATCTAATCTCCAAGAAGATGACACCTGCTAGATCTCAGGCAGTGTCCTCAGTGTGGCTGCAAAACCTTCAGCCCAGATACTCATCCATGAGAGATGAAGACTAGAGGTAAGGAGGCTTGGTGAGACAATGGAGAGGAGCACACTGTGAGCTGGAATGTGGCTGCTCCTCAGGGAGGGCAATGTTCAGACTGAAAATGAGAAAGAAGGCAGTTAGCAAAAACATAATGGTAAACAATTACATACACTGTGATAATCAGACATTCTTGACTTATAGGTTAATAAATTATTTTAACATAAACATTTGACATGTTATTACTTAGGAAATAACATGAATTCAGTTTCCATTTTGATTGCTAAATATCTTTAGAAGACCAGTTGTTATTCACCCTTTACCATAAATAACTTTTCACTGGAAGAACGAGGTAATGAAAAGCCTAACAATTCATTACTAAGATTTTTAAGGTATTAAGCATATCTTGAGGATGTTTGACATATCTTCAAAAAGGTTATTAATTTTCTTTGTCTTTGTTAAAGTAAATATAACTTAATAGATGTGATAAATATTACATATTTCATATATTTAAATATTATGTCCAAGGCTATCACATCATTTCCCATTGCATCATTACACATAAAAATTTTTAATAACTTAGAATAGAATCAGCATGAAAATACTCCCAAAAATTAAATTATTTTTATTGAAACATGACACACTGTGCTCTTACCTTATATTTAAATATTATTTTGTGATATTTTCTATTTTCATGACTTGTATAGATTGTGGATGATACTCCAAATAAAAACTTTAATACCAAAAACCAAAGTATACAGTTGTTGGGTATGGTGACATAACTCCGCAATTAAAGCTTTTTGGGAAAGCTGGGGCAAGAGGATCGCTTGAAGCCCAGGAGTTCATGGAATTCATGATAAACCTAGGCAACATGGCAAGACTATGTCTTAAAACAAAAGAACAAAACTATGTATGAAAAAATTCTACATTTTCAGTGTAAGAACACCATTAAGAAATCATATACCTTAAAAGTTATGTGAGTAGTACATGTGTACAGCTCTGAATTTGACTCCCAGAACTTAAAAAAAAAGTTACAGTTACAGTTATATAAATATATACATATAAACTGGAGGGAAATTTAAAAACTGGTTTTTTTTCTTTTTTCTATCTTTCTTTCTTTCTTTCTTTCTTTTTTTTTTTTGAAAAACATAGTGATTTCACCTGATGTGAAATCACTCAACATTCCTAGAAATTTTTCTTCTGTTTCACCGAATATCCACTTTTCAGTTCAAGGAGATTGAGTCAGCATAGGTAACTTAAAATAAGCTTTCTTTGTTCTGCCAACTCTAGGTAAAACGTCTGGCTCCTTATCTGAGGTGCAGCTATGCTCCATGGTGGACAGGGACGGGTGTTAAACCACTTGGTTCAGCTGTTCTGTCTGCCTAACCCTGATTTCTTCATTTAGAAGACTGTAATAGCTGCCTAGCATATAAGGGAATCACAATGGCTAACACACATAAAGAACTTATCTTAATCCGGTACCCAGTATGAGTTCTAATGTTGGTTGTCTATTGCCTTTCCTACCTAGAAGGAGAAAGAGGGCAATGCAGTACTGACTCAGATCTTTCTGTAGCAGAAGCCATTCTGAAGAGGAATCCTTCCAAATCTCTATGCATTAATCATTTCTCTGTGTGTACAATAGTGAGGAAGAGCAGAAACTAGGAATGTCTGTAAATATCACTAAAGTGCTTTTATTTCAGTAAATCACCCCTATGGAGACAGGAAGCACCAAAATTCAGTAACCTCAGAAGAGAAGGAATACATTTGCATTCATGTCCCATGACAATTCTTAAAGCAATAGCATTCCAACTCTGCTCAAGCAAACTAGATTGGTCACAAAATATTTTGGTTAGGGATGGTAACACACAGAAGTATGAATTCTAACAGCAGACTGGGCAGACATACCAGATCCTTCATAACTGAATTCCCCCAATGTCTGTTTTCCCCCTTATCTCATAAGAAAAACACAGCCAGCAGAAACAGAATGCAAGAGGTAGGATTACAAGCCAAAAGTTTGACTCCAAAGCATCTGTACTGTGCTGGAACTACCTAAGAGTCCCAAACAAAGGAGGCTACTTTGTAGCATCTAAAGTATAGGTTAAGACCAGGTTTCCAAATCACTATACTATGGAATCCCTCTCAGATAAAACACGAACATTCACACTAATATTCAATTATTTATATAACTGAAATTATTTAGAAGTGACTATTGTTATAAATGCCATCAAAACATCAGTAAAGAACAGTTCTGAAGAGCTGGAGAGATGGTTCAGTAATTAAGACCATATGTTATTCTTGTAGAGGACCTGGGTTCAATTCCTGGCACACACATAGTGCTTCCAGAAAATCTAATGCCCTCTTCTAACCTCTCCAAGCACCAAGTGTACGTTCAGTGCACATACATATCTACATACATACATGCAAGCAAAACATTCACACATAAAATAAAATAAATAAATCTAAAAAAAATAGAGAATATTTCTGAGATAAATGTATCATCAGTCTTCTAAGAGACATCAATCAGAAGACACTGTCTAGTGACTACTTAACAATGTACTTTGGGGGCTGTCAATGCAGCTCAGTAGTAGAGCCCTTAACACAGCATATGTGAGGCCCTAGGTTCAATCCACAATACTGGGGCCAATGTTCCACTTACATAGGCCACATCACACACTAGCTTTGGTCATATGGATTCCGTATCAGTGGCTAACCAACTACCTTAAGGCATGGCCACATATGTCTGCTGATAGCTACTTGTCTCAGACACACATATGGACATGTTTGGGCTGGTCCTTGCTTGAATCAAGCCTTCTTCTGGTAGGAGAACAAGGGATACATTACATATATTGATAAGCTGATTCTAAAACCCATAGCTAGACTCCAGAAGTTTAGTTCCAGCAGAAGCCAGATAAGTGAGGATGAATGACACGATGGAGAACAGAAGGTTCTGAAAGGATGCTGCTAGGCTGTGGGGAATCACTCAGGATAGAGGTGACTCATAACTGTCTTGGAGTACTTTAAACTGGAATACAAATTGTCAGCAAACTCTCCAGTTCAGTGTCTAGGGAGTCTACAAACATGCCTTTAAAAACTTCATTTCAGATAAGGAGAACATAATCACTACATTTTTTTTTTTTTTTTGAAATTCGGACTTGAATTTTTCTCTATCTCTTTCCCTCCTTTTTTTCTTTTTCTTCTTTATTTCTTTCTTCCTTCCTTTTTTGTTTTTTTTTGTTGTTGTTGTTGTTGTTGTTTTGTTATTTTCAAGACAGGGTTTCTCTGTAGCCTTGGAGGCTGTCCTGGAACTAGCTCTTGTAGACCAGGCTGGTCTCAAACTCACAGAGACCTGCCACTGCCTCCCAAGTGCTGGGATTAATGGCATGCACCACCACTGCCCAGCCTCCCCTTTCTTTCTTGTAGTGGCTTCTTGCCTTGCCAGTGAACTTGTAGTAGTGGTTACACCTTTTGGGCATGGTTTCAGGTGCAGATGTGACCCTTTTAAGGTAGGGGAGCTGCAGGCACATGCTCTCGAGTTGTGGAGAACATTGGGAGAGTAGACACTCCATCTTGTGGAGGAAAACCTTTGCGGTTTTTTACTCTTTTCTGTTCTAGTTCTTCCCTAATAAAACACCTATTTATCATTTATCTTGGGTCTGGTGAACTCATTTAAAACCCCATCGTCACTTTCTTTTATGAATTTTGGAGACAGTTTTATTTTTTACCACAAGCTGGCATTGAACTCATTATATAACGCATGGTGGTCTCAAACTCAGTCTCTTATCTCAGCCTACAAAGTGTTGGGGTTGCAGATACATACAATATATCACAAATAGCATCCTATATCTTTCCAAATCAATTTTTAAAATGGGACTGAGTAGACAGAAAATGGAAACCCTTTTATAAAGTATCCTAAAATGGAAATTAGACATTTTTCATATCTAATTGCATATATTTTTGCTGTTTGCCCAAGATGTATGTTTGAGGGACCAAAAGATAAAAGTAGGTCAAATAGCTTAACAATTACAGGTTTGAGGACGGAACACTGGAATAACCCAAGTATTTGCTCACAAGGGGGAAATGAAGCAGCCTTTATTCTACCCACTAGTGGTTGATGACATAGCACTAACTCCTGTGCATGCTCATAGGGAATAGGGACTTCAAGTAACAAGGGTATAGTCATGTAGCCAATTCATGAAAAAACATGCAATAACATATAAAGATGCATAGGTAGTTATGGTCTTGGGAAGGGACCTGACATGCAGCTGGTGGGAGGAGGAAGGACCTGTGAATTTACCTGACAGCTGGGTAGTCTTGCCTCCCAGTTAGTTGTGAGCACTGTGGCGGTACGGAGGCAGCAGGCTGCTGACAATCTACAAGAAACTAATAAATTAGACATGTATACACAGAGATGACATAAAGGTGTTAGCAACAGTAATTAAATCAGCTGTCTGAGATTTAGTGAGGAATGTGCATTCAAAAACATCTAGATTAAATGTGTTGTGTGTGTGTTTTTCCTTGACCAATGACAATAGAAAAGAAATATTTTTTTCTTAATTGAATACAATATTAGAAAAACTTATTTTTAAAATACATTATATCCTATGGCCACTCATGCTTGGTGTTTTGATGCCTCTAAACTCAAAGAGTCTATTGGTATAAAAAAAATCTTCAACTTCTGAACTTGAACATGATGCTGATCACCTGATTAGCAGATAGATCTGCTGTTCTAAAATGGAATATATTCAGGTAACATATTTTATTGTAAGAGCACATAGTAATGTCAAACTCACATATATTTTGAGAAAGTTAAACAATACCTTATTAACAAGATATTAAACAAGAAAATTTCTTTACGGTTTTCTGAAACTTGATTGTATGTGTTGAAAATAATTGTTAGCAGAAATCTTAGATGGTTTATTACGTAAGAAAATTTTATGTAATGGATGAAGGAAGCCAATCTTATATGGAACTCATTTTTTAAAATTACTTTAAAGCCACACACCATAACTCATATTAACTAACTATATGTTATAAGTTGTCATTATGTTATTCATAAACCCCAAGAAAATAGGTATCTAAATCATCAAAAATCAGTCTACTCTTGGGCACTTGGTTCATAATATTAGAAATATGCAAAAGGCTAGTTGGAAATGCATATATAATATTTTTGCAAAAACTCTGAAGCAAAAATGGGAGTTCGACTTGAAAATTATTCTTGAAGCATTTTCTTTGGTGAACAGTTTAGACATGTAGAAAATATTAAAGCCAAGTCACCTCACATTCTGGATTTACAAGGATGAGTTAAGACTATTGAAATTTGTGTTTAAAATCTCATATCTAGGTTATTACTATTCTAAAACCACTACATTCTATGGAATAACAAATTGTATCAGCATTTGGTGATTCTAGAAAATAAAAATTCATAAAAATTATTTTATGTAAGACATTAGAAACACACAAACTTTCTAATGCAATGTAGAAAGCAACACAAGGTAAGCTTGATTTGAGTTCTCTATAGCTTAACTATTAAAGAGACTCTTTTACACAGTGATCTTTGTTGTAGCTTAACTATTTCTTATTAATAGGGATGAGGAAATCTGTGTTAACTGGTATTTAGACTGTCATGGTTTGACTTTCCATCCCTGTTTTCTCAGAAATTGAGGAGTCCCCTTTTTTGTTGTTTTCCCATTTTCAGTTTGACCAGCTCCAATGGTTCTCTTTTATAAAAATTCAAGACTTTAGAAATTAGTTCCTTTTCTATTTGAAATCTCCACCTGCTCCTTTTGTCTCTTCCACAAACTATCTGTGTTACAATATGAACAATTTAGAGAGCTAACTGAATTTTAATTGGATCACCAGATATGTAATTTTTAAGTTAACTACTTAAAGTTAAGTAGTACTTGCTGCCCTCCATTAAGTAAGTACAATGGAAGAAAAAATGACCTGAACATATGTTCTATAAATTTTACACTTTATATTGTCAGCAAGGGATGAACTTCTAAAGCAGAGCCTTAGCTTCTGTTTAATAGCAATCTTAGAATAAACTGAACATCAAAATTCTTACTTTTCAGATCTGCTGTATATTAGAAATAATTGATTTGCAATGCAGTCATGGTTTATCATGCATTGAAAATACCCTTTCTGATACTATTTAGAAACAGATGATTAAGACCATAATGCACACCCTTAATAAGCTGCCTGATTTAGCAACTCTATACATTCATAGTGAACATGTTATCTTTCCTTTTTAAACATTTATGTATTTTTATCTTATGTGCATTAGTGTTAGCCTACAAGTATGTATATGTATCATGTGCATGCCTGGTAGCAACAGAGGTCAGAAGAGGGTGTCAGATACTCTGAAACTGTAATTACAAGCAGTTGTAAACCATGTGGATACAACTGAATTTAGGTAATTTCCAAGAGCAGCAAATTAAGAAACCACTGAGCTATCTCTCCAGCCCTGTATTCTCTTTCAATCATAAATTACTTTTCTGGGCATGGTGGTGTGTTTTTAATCTCAGCACTTGGGAAGCAGAGGAAGGCAGATCTCTGAGTTCAAGGTCATCCTGTTCTACATATTGAGTTCTAGGCCAGCCAAGACTATATAATGAGATTCTGTCTAAATAAGTAAATAAAAATAAGGATAGACCTCACTTCTGGTTATTGTTAATATTTTACACTTTAAGCCTTTAACTAAGTGCTACTCTTAAGAGCAAAAACAGCAGATTCCAAATGCACAAACATAATGTATTGATGTCAATAAAATGTTAAAACATTTATGACTCAACTGTCTCTAAACTCTCCCCTGAGCACCCTGGGTCCACATACCTCTAATTATGTCCACTTTGAGCCAAACTGAAACACAGTATTTTAGCATACATTCTGCAAAGCAAAGCAGGTGTGCTGGGAGATAGAAAAGATACCTCTCAGATTTAGTTCCTGGTCTTTCAGCTCTGACTATGATCTTGTAGCCCAGACAGACTCTTGAGGCAACTGTAACTGAATTTCATTACTTTTAATGCATGAAAGATCACAATTATGTGGCTTGCAGAGCAACCAGAACAGATGTTCTCATTTATTATCCAAGATATTCTTAATTACTCAATAATCAAATTACTAACTTAATGTTGGAGACTGTTGGACAGTGGGGACAAAAACACAAAGAAGATAAAATCTCTGCTTGATTGAGGAAGACAAATACATTCAGTGAGCACTTACAGTAACGTGGCATGGAGATGGTAAGGATGAGGGAGATGCTACATCGTCTGGAATTCATCCATTTCTTACCATGTTCTCTGGCTACTCTTAAATTTCTATCAGCTACCTCCAGAAAGTATTAGGGTTATATAGTGAAAGAATACCATCATACAGTTGAGACGCTGATTTGAAGAGAATAAAATACATCAAAAACAAAGCAAGATGTAGCATCCAAGAAAAGGAATAATGTTTTGTGTTGTTGTTATTCTTGGTTTGGTTTGTTTATTTGTTTGTTTTGGTGGCTGCAAATAGATTTCCCTGGCAGAGAGGAAGAAGTTTTGCTTTACAAGCTTTCCCTCAAGCTTCTATTGGTTTTTATCATTTTTGATATAATTTATAAAATTCATCAATATCCTAAAATCTAGTTCTTTAGGGAGTGCATGGGATAGATGATACTGCCTGAGTGGGACAATTGCAACACTAGGTTTTGGCTCATCCCTCAGACCACATGACAGCAGAGGGTCTCATATGGGATTATATGAGTAAAATCTGTATTGTAGAGTACACAATCTACCAGAATAAGGTTTTCTTGGTTACCAGATACACTGTGAAAGTACAGAGCAGTTCTCAATGGCTCACAGTATTCTATAGCATGATTTGTTATAGCCTGCTTTCAAAGTGGACGATATAATGCACCCCTGACTCCTAGTGAAAATGTATCTTCAATACATACATATCTCCTTCCTTTGGCATCATGAGCCACATCCAGTGCTGCTCAATTTTCTATTAAAACTATCTATGTCCTAAATACAAAATAATTCAAGCTCTTCCTATGAGATAAGGTGGCAACTTTTCCTACTCTCCTCTCACATACCTTCCTAACTCTACTCTACAGGACATCGTCTAGTATAGAAACATGTTTCTAACCCTGAAATGTTTGAAAATTAAATCATATGTAGTCAGGTATGGCAAGAGAAAAATAGCACACAGACCTGTCTCATCTTAACTATCAAAATTCTACAAAAATAACAAAATTTATATGACATTTAAAGCAACCACATCCCACTGCTAATTCATGCCAATCTCTGTTTATTGATGGTTTATTGATGGATGTATGTTTAAAATGCCAATGAAATTTGGATATATATTAATAAAATTAAGAGTATATATGTTCATAATTCCAGTGAAAAGTTTGTATAATCTATTGTGTTTTGAGACCTAAACCCAGGGCCATGTGCATGCTAGACTCTGAATTACAACTTCAGCTCCTAATTTTTAATGTTTTGTGTTTATCCCTAATACATTTCACCTTTTTCTACTCAAAGCACCCTTTGTGTTCTACTCTGTCATTTCATATATTAGTTCCTCTTCTATTTTTATGTATCAAGTTAAAAATATGATAATTTAACTTTGATATCTTCATTCCACATGGCAAAATAGGGCTAGGTAGAGACAGATTTCATAATTATTTTTGTTTGTTTTTTGATATAGGGTTTCTCTGTAGCTTTGGAGCCTATTCTGGAACTCCAGTAGACCAGGCTGGCCTCAAACTCACAGAGATCCGACCGTCTCTACTTCCCAAGTGCTGTGATTAAAAGTGTGTGCTATCACTGTCAGGCTAGATTTCATAAATTCTGATGGATGATTTTGACCCTTTTTAACCATTTATGGATGCAAAAATATTGTATGATTAATTCTCTATTTATTTTAATTTTTTTAAAGAGCTGGTGGTTGTTTGTCAAGATTCAGACATACCTCTTACCCTGGTTTAATGCATGAGAATGAAGCTTAGTCTAGCAGAAGTCATTCATAATGAGTTAGCCTTTAGCAGTAACCACTGTGTATTGAGCAGATGAACCCATCCATTTTCCAAAACTTGCCAAGGACCAGGCTCAAGTTTGTGAATTGAATTTAGAAAAACTTGTTTTCTTTGTATAAAAACTGTATTTCCACATTCTCTCTGACACATTTAGGTGTCTATCCTATTACTTTCGCTTTCTCTTTCTCCCTGGCACCTCTTTATTTATCTTGTATATGCCCAGGACTTTTTAGTGTCTTTCCTTCAGCAATGAAATTTAAACAGAAAAAACACAGATGTCTCTCTTCTTCACTGCTCTTCTCGCATTCATCCCACCGCTCTGTGGCCCATTTAGCCTCCACTCATGATCCA